AGCTACTGAGACCAACTTTTACTAAGGAATAGAGAGAAGTCTTAAGCTAAGAGTAAGGGTGGGGTTGACCTCATTGCTATGGATGATGTCAACAAGCTTACTAAGTAGGTGAGTGGGGAGGAGTCTCTGTCAGTGATTCAATCATAGAAATATTGTAGAAAGAGGCATCATGTTGCCAGATTCAATTAAAGATTTTAAAATAAAAATGTTGCCATATTCAAAAATATTTTATGAAGTAGGCACTAATAAAACAAGTATGTTTAACTAATTGTCAGCCTCTTATATGAATTCAAGAGACAAATTATAAACAAAGTTCTGGAGGAGTATTATCTAATCAATTCAAGAGGAGGCATATATACAGCACACACAGCCGACTTACCTAGTTACCTCAACAGTTTTCTGCATCCCTCCACCACCCCTGAGTCCTCACTCTCGGCCCATCCGGGGATACGGGGGAGTACTCTGGGTTTGGGCTAAATTCCAAGCTTTGAGCCCTCGATCCCATCGGACAGCACGGCAAATAGGTTTATTTTACTCTATCCAATCTTTTTTTCCATTTCTAAGTTGAACTCGTGAAACAACTGCCACAGATAATCAGACATTATTTTCTTTTATGTATTTATTAAAGATGTATTGTTGCCATTTTTGCCTTTTTCTTATGACAGGAAGCGAAGTGGGAGAGAGAAAGGTCCGCTTGACTGCAATGTTTTATTCTCCAACATTCAATGCATATTGCCTATACATAAAGGAACCTTTTGTTATGAAATCTATAAATCAATATATTTATTGCATTTATGAAGAAAATGCTCAGCACCCAAGGCTCTATACCTATTGCCTAAACGGTGTACAGTGTCTTTGGGTGGATTGCTGAGGCGGATTGCCGGCAACAGCCGTTAGGATTGTTTGTGATTTTCGTCTCAGTCACTTAGGAGTCCTTTTTACTACTAACTTTTCACAGATTTAGGAGCTGGTATTGGCTCTTAAATGCTTTGTGAAATACTCTCAGAGCGGAAATTTAGGAGTCCTAAAATTAGGACTGACACACCCATAAGAGTTTCTCCTAAATCGCCAAGTTAGGAGCTACTTTTAGCCTCAAAATATTTGTGAATACAGCCCCAGATAGCTATCCAATTTGTTAAAACGGTTTCATTTACGCTTGGCCACACAAATGTCTCCACAAAACAAATCTTCAATTCCCACGTTATTTGCTAATTCATAGTATGATGACAATGACTTTAATGACTTGCACTTGAAAGATTTGAATTCACTAACCAGCTGATTCATTGAGTGAGTGAGCTATTTATGACAGATGAGTAAAACTCATTCAAGAGTCACTTTGACAGATTCATTAAAAACCTTCTCATTGGAGTAGTTTATTCACAAACTGGGTAGTCAGATTCACGCTGTATGTTTCCTTCAACCAGGATAACACAAAAAAAGGTTGATTGCTGATGTGGCAATAAAAATCAACAAACAAAAAAAGTTAATTGAATTCCGAGAGCAAAACTGAAAGCCACTTGTTCATTTATGTACTTTATTGTCTTGCAGCTCACCAGACAATACAACACATCTGACAAAAAAAACCTCACTTTAATAGAGCGATAGTGTGACAGTAGTAATGTATAATAATTAGGGTTTGAATTTTACTCACTAGCCAATTTTGGCTGCTAAATTAAGTTACCAGCCATTTAGATCTACGAGCCTTAAAGGGATAGTTCACTTTGAAATTACTTTTTGGTATGTTTTAGCTTACCTCAAGGGCATCCAAGATGTAGGTGTCTTTGTTTCCGCAGTAGTTTCAATTTTGATATTTTTAGGTCAAACCGTTCTTGTCTGTCAGTCATGTAATGCAGGTCTATGGTCACCACCTCAAAGAGCATGCACAGAGAAGTCCAAATTAAACATGATTTAATGACTCGTAAATGTAAGTACACATTGATGGCCTAAGACACGAAACGAGCGGTTTGTGTGAGAAAACGAACAGTATTTATATCGTTTTTACCTCTTGTAACCACAGCCACGTCCAAGTGATCTGAGGGCGCGGGCGCTTCGGTCTGCGCAAGCACCGGAAATGATCTCTCGCGCGTGTACGTCACTCATTGTTTACACAGAGATTTCGGAAGTGTTACCTTTCACTGTGAAGATCTAAACATATTTAGATATACAGGAAATCGCAATGGAAGACAATTTCGATATATCAACAGACAACGTTGAATTTTTTCGCAAACGCGCGAGAGATCACTTCCGGCGCTTGCGCAGACCGAAGCGCCCGCGCCCTCAGATCACTTGGACGTGGCTGTGGTTACAAGAGGTAAAAACGATATAAACACTGTTCGTTTTCTCACACAAACCGCTCGTTTCGTGTCTTAGGCCATCAATGTGTGCTTGCATTTACGAGTCATTAAATCATGTTTAATTTGGACTTCTCTGTGCATGCTCTTTGATGTGGTGTCCATATAGACCTGCATTATATGACTGACAGACAAGAACGGTTTGACCTAAAAATATCAAATGAAACTACTGCGGAAACAAAGACACCTACACTGGGGCGGCAGTGGCTCAGTGGTTCATGTAGGTTGTCTACAAACCGGAAGGTTGGTGGTTCAATCCCCTGTTCCACCTGACCAAGTGTCGAGGTCGAGGTGTATGAAAATGAATGAGTGAGTGAATGGGTGAATGTGAGGCAAAATTGTAAAGCGCTTTGGTGGCCATTGGGTCTGTGAAAGCGCTATCTAAATGCAGTCCATTTACCATTTTACATCTTGGATGCCCTTGAGGTAAGCTAAAACATACCAAAAATTAATTTCAAAGTGAACTATCCCTTTAACAAACATATCAGAAATAAAACCAAATTATTGAAGTCACATCTTGTCAAATACCATCTTCTGACTAGACTATTCATTAGTTCATTCTTCTGTCACAAGAGGCAGATGGAATGTGAAAAAAGCAACAAATAAACCCTGGTGCAAATGCCACAAACTAAATCTTACCCATTGTAAAATTCGGACTTTAAAAAAAAAAAGCATTCATTTTACTCTAAATTAAGCTCGCTCCAAAATGAATGTTTAACGGTAAAATATGCTAAAGGGAGTGTTTAGACGTCTGTACTGTAAAAAAAAAAAAGTGAGAACGAGATGAAAAAGTGGCATCTTGTCTCTGTCAATGTACCAGAGTGTGTTAGAGGCTCCTCATAGGGGATTGGCTCATTGTGATGACATTCAGAGTGATAAAACGAACATAACCCGCCTAATTGGCTAGTGAGTTGTTCGTGTTGATTTGAACATTCATTTGGCGGGTTGGTGAGTGTAAATATGATGTAGCAAATTATTAATGTAGCAAATTGTTAGATGGGTATACTTTAACAAAGTCCCGTGAGAGGAAAATATTTAGAGTAATGCACCAAATATTCAGCAACTGGAAATTTTTTGTCTGAAACAGCAATTTTTGGTCTTGGTCTTAATGGTTTGGGAGGGTTGAAATCCTTGACCCTCAAACAGTGATGTTTAATGTAGCATTTTCCAAAGCCGTGTTAGGTCTTAGGGACAGCAGTGAGTTTGTGTCCTGTCTCCCTTGAGTGGTTTAAAAAAATCTTGATCATTTTTTGAATTAACCCTTTAAGTGTCACCCCCCTTTTTTTGAATATACATGAAAATGCACATTTCGAACTTAAATGGTTGTAATTCAAGAATGCTTTGGAATATAGACGTAAGATTGGTCTTGTTTTAAAGACATTTGGCAGATTCTTGTAGAAGTGAAATAAATTAAGAAAGTGAAACAGAAAAAAAGTTATAGAAGTTTGAGTTTATGAAAATGTACAATGTAAAATTTTTAATTATTCATATTTTATATAAAATATATATTTTCAAAACCTGGGCGACTCTAAAACTGCAAAAAAATCAAAGCCAAAAATCTGAACAAGTTGTGTTTCAAATTTTAGGTTGATATCTCAAAAAATGAGCTTTCAGTAAGATTTTGTTTGGGCGCAGTACCAAACTTTTTCACTAGATGACAACCAGACTCCATCACTGCCCATATAAGGGCGCCTCCATTTCCATATGTGTTTTGAGTGATATGAACCATTATTTCCACAATTTTCATACAATTTATGAAGTAGACATCCTATTCAGAAGTAATATGAGAAGTTTGGCAGATTTTGATATGATTTCAACCTCTAAGAAACATAAAAAGAACACGCATGTGCGTTTCAGCTTCCTGCCACATCATATAATTTTTTTCTTTATATATAAAAAAAAAATTCAGACCTTTTTTTTTTAATAATTGAATGGATGCTATCTTTTGAACTCTTGGAATGAAAACAAACTGAGGTTTCTACCCTTCTTTCATGATTTTTCATGTTCATCACTATTTCAAAATAAAGGTCTAAGAGTATGAAAATATTATTGTTGCAAATTGATAAATTACGGCTCCTCTGTAATTTATTTTGAAAATCAATCACCAAATATGGAAACTAGAGATTGTAAGCTTTCAAATGATATATAGTTTGTCAAGATTAGTTTAGGTTTAGTATAGGATATTACTGTTTTAAAAATGTAAAGAATTTGGGCCCACCGGTGGGCCCGTGACACTTAAGGGGCTAAGAAATCATAATGCAGCCAAAGATAATTTACAGGGAACATAAATATTTAATTTACCTTCCGAGTCTTTCGTCCATCTGTCACGTGACGGACGCAATGAATAGACCGTTCATGAATGACCCATCACTGGTATAAAGTACTTTAAAATAAAAGGTTATTAAACTTTTGTCAAGTTGATATAAAAAATTCCTCATGCAAATTAAACAAAAGTGTTATTGAATAAATGTTATGATTTAACTTTATTTTTGGCTTTGTTTTTTTTAGGCTAATGAACTTAATCTTCTATTTCTGAAAAATAATTTTGTGAATAGCCATTTAAAGTTACTCTGGTTCTAGTAGAGGCAGCACATTAAATTAATTTATATGTTCCTTTTATACTTAAATTTCTTTGCAATGTCTGTTTAGAGTTTACAGGTCCACCTGAGTAGCTCCAAGGGTCCCATTGATGTTTTCCTCTGTACGGATGGTGGCGACTCTGGGAGTCTGCTGCACAACGGCCTTGATGTGAATGGAAATCACCCTGCGTTTCTCAAAGTCTCCCAAGGCAAGAACTCAACTTTTACAGCAACAATAACATCTGGTCCTTCAAAAAAAAAAAAAAAAGTTTCCTTCAAGTGTAATTTTCCATTCTATATCATTTCAGAAACTGCTTCAGATGGAATGGCTGATGGTGTGAAGATGAACGGTAGCGTCAATGGTTTTGGGTCCTTGGCTGGAAGTGCCCCCATGTCACCACTCAGTTCCTCCTTGTCCTCCATTCTCCAACAGCCAGAGGAGTCCATCCCCTTCGTGCCGCTGTCTCCTGCTCTCCTCAATGACGAATACATGCTGAGCTTGGGTGATGAGCAGGGTATAAGCGATCTGTTCGACTCCTGCGACCTGGACACGCTAGCATTGGATGACCTGCTTAGGATATGAGCGATCCCGGAAGCCAGCCGGACCTGATTTCAAGTTAGTTGACCGGTGGTGCTTAGTTCCTGAATGAAATCTAGATTGACAAGATTGATGGGCGTAAATCTGGGGATGAACTACAGACTGAATTTCCTCGTCGCATTTGACATTCACAGTTTACGCATGGATCTTCTTTAGGTTTACTGCCTCAGGATCCAAGGTTTCTCTTGTCTCTTACTGTACAGATGGGTTTCTGTACCCTGATAATGTCATTTTAAAGTTATTTTTAGTGTGGTGGATTGCATGAATTGTGTGATTGGTCTGTAAATGTCATACTGGTTTTTGTGATGGGCAGCCCCTGCGAATAATGCAGAAAGTTCACAATTTCCTCAAAAATAGAGTATTTCTCTACTCTTAATGGGCGTTTTTTTTTTTTTTTTTTTGAGTTAATCTCTTGCTTGCTTTCATTGGGAAAGTCATCTCAGCATTGTAGGCTAGCTTAAAATCAAAGAAGATCAGCGAGTTGTTCCCTTATTGAATGATCCAAAGTGCATTTGGTGCTTTATCACTTATTATGCTATATGCCAGTGTACTGTATCTCAGGGCACAGATCAAGGAGTGGGTGCTTTGTGTGGTGATCTAGTGATGTCTGGGTAAATGTAGAATGAAATCGGTTTTCCTGAACTACAGCGTCTTATCAATTTTGTTACCAAATGATTTGTTCAAAGAAATGAACATGTCTTGTCCTCCATTTTTGGTGTGATTCATGTGTAAACAACAATGTAATGATTCTGCAAGTTGTGCAGTTTTGGCTAATTTTTAAACTCTAGATGGGAAACTGAATTTTGGATATTATTACCCTAATCCAGTCCCCCTTCATGTTGAATGTATTTCAGTATCTGAATTGCACTGAAGACTTGAGTCTTATGAAGCCATCATGGACATCTGTGGCGTAACTCGCCACTTGATTATCTAACATTTACTGTCCCACAGAGAATTTTAGGTTTTTCAGTAGCAGCCGTTTTGTGTAGTGCACATTAATTTCCCATCATGTTTCTTTGTTCACTCCTATAAATTAAGTTCATTTGGTTTTATTTTAAAGCAACCACATTATGGGCTTGTACATAGGCTGCTGTTATAGCCATACCAGGCCCCCCCAAAAATACCTTCAGTCCAGCAAATTAGACATAACCATTCTGTTACTTTAGTTTTATTCTAGTTGAAAAGTTCATTTGTGTAATACTTCAGATGTGAAGTAACTTGTTCATGCAGTTCTTTTTTTTTCTTTTTTCTTTTTGCTGTGGTTAAAGTAAATTATGGTACATATTAAATTTGAATTAGTGCTAATGCTCACTAGTTCTGCATTGGAATGAGGATGTTGGTCATGTATGCAGCCATATTGCATAGAAAAATATTATGACTAATCACTTTGCCAGTATGTATTCTATTCCTACAGTGCAGTTTGATTTTTCAATTTTTTTTTTATTTTTTTTTTATTAGAGGCAGTTTTATGTGCCAATGTGTGAAATGTGAAGTTTTATATGTGGACTGTAAACTGTGCATTAATTGTTTGCAAATTGTTTTTAATAAAGTTATGAATTTCTGCACATTCTGTCCTGTTGATCATGGATACATATGATGTTAAGGCCTTTTATGCAATATGATCAGTTTATATAACTTGTCCTATTTAGAATTGTTGGTCTTTGCTTGTCCTAACTCTGTGCTGAACTTTGATCATTCAGAATTGGTTTGAATATATGTTTATAGAACATCACAATGCAATTTTTTCTTTAAGAATGTTGCAAAAAATCTATTTATATTTGTCATTTCTTTGGTTCATCTGAGAAACTTCTCAGGTCATGAATTACTAAAAGGGAACAAGATGTTGACTAAGACATTTAATATTGACAGTAATATGTCAGTAGGGTAAACTGTCACTTTTTTAATTTTCCCAATGTTGATCATTTGAACTCATATTTCAAATTAGATCTCTGGTGTCAACTGAAATGGAAAAGTGTCCATCAGAGAAAAAGCCGAGTGACCCATATTAAAGGTTAGTTCAATCACCGGGGAATTTATAAATATTTTTTATTAAATATTAAAATACATATAGGATAAGCTTATCTTTTGAGCTCACTGCTTAATTTAAATGCAAATTGTGTAATGATGGATGCAATATTGTCCATTTGAAATGATTTGTTAATGGGGGGAATTTCCTTAGTGTGCTGTCAACAATGTTTATGCATGTTTTTCTCTGATTGTAATTTGTAACTGATAAAGTGAATGTATTTTTTTTAAGGCCCAGTTTCACAGACAGGGCTTGGACTAAGACGGGACTTAGTTCAGTTACGGCATTTAAGTAGCTTTCAAAATGTGCCTTGGGGAAAAAAACGTTACTGGTGTGCATCTTGAGACAAAACAATGGCATTGACATATTTTAAGATGTCAGTCCAAGTTGCTTTCAGTTAAAATGGCTCAAACATATTTCGTTTGGGACTAGCTTAAACCTTGTCCGTGAAACCGGGTATATGTATTAAGGTACAACATGTCTCTTGTAATGACTGTCCTTCTCTTGCTTGCCATTAGATGGCATGTTCTTCATTTGAAAGACAGAAATGTCTACAAACCACTATCTTGACAATATTCTTCTCACAAAATCACTGCAATGCCATTAAATGTAGATCTTAAACTGCTGCTTATTAAACGAAAGTGCAAATTGTTTTCTTCATGAAGACTTGCATTTTTAGTTTATATGGTTTCTTTAGTGCTTCCTTGCAAGATGATATATATATTTGTGATGAGCATTTCAAAACCTTTAAAAGCATTTTTGATTTATTTTAGGCTTGCAGTGCAGGTGATTAAATGTTTAATTTCACATAATTCTTTTTTAGGACCATCAGAGCAGACAGTATCATCAGAATGAACAGGCGGACACGTTCTCCTACAGATGTCCCTTATCTTCGACTAATGCGGCTTGGCTCTGAGGCTGTCTGCTCTTTGTCTGAGAGAAACAGCAGTGAATGGCCAGGCAATGTATGATGTAATTTATTTTGAGTAGCGCCTCTCTCATTTGCCTGTAGGGGGCACTGTTGAGACACCAAAGAGGGCCCAGACACACTTAACCTAATTCCCTAGTTTTGCTTGCCAGACACTAGGTTCATGGAAAGTCACTGATTTGATCAGTTATTCAAATTATAGTATGAATCCAGCAGTTGAAACAAATGGCTGCAGCTGTTCTCATTGGTTATGTGAAAACTGATATTTGTGTGCCCTTGATTAATGCTTCATTCAGCTGCCGCTGTTGTCCGCACAGGGTCCAATGGGAAATTTCAAGCCAGACAGTTGCAAAGCACACTTTATTTCAGCTCGTGTGCTTGTACAGCCTGTTGAACTGCCACATTATGATCAGATTTTTTTCCAAATTATTGTATGATGAGTAGTAATAGATTTTAGTCAGTTACTAAAGCATGTGATTCATTCCACTGAACGTGTATAAGTGCTACAGTAAAGCTGAAACGTACACGCAGCGTAGAAGCGCTACACGTGCGCACATGCACAGCATACGCTGCTGCTCATTCATAAAAGCACACGGCGTGTTTTGATGGATACTGATTGGATGAGGGCTACGCTACGCTTCGATTCGCCGCATCCTATGTGCCCAATCAGAAGCAGGCTGCCCTCCATTGCTTCTGCTCTGTGTTTCAGAGTTTCAGTAGTGAGTCTGACTGCTCAACTGGATCCTGCAGCAGTGGCCAGAGGTCTGTGGACAGTATAAACAAGGATAGATTAGTATTGCAATTGCAATGCAAACAACAGGGCTATAATGCATCGCTGTGAGCTCATTAAACACAACATACATTTGCTTTGAAAGCAATCTGCATGGGTGATCTTATCCAGATGAATTGTGATTCAAATTCCTAGTTATTACTTTCAGGAAGAGATGTTTGCATACTAAGAAAAGCAGTCATAAGGTCTGATTGTGCCAACTGTATGGAATTCATATTAGCGGATACCATGGCAACTGAATGACTGTTGTTACTGTAGATATATTGTGCTATTTTTCTGTTCTTGCTTGTCTGCAAGTTAGCGTGAAATTTATATCAGAATCATGTTTTTCAGCATTGCTTGTGTCTCTTAGGAAAATCAAAGGGTTACCCAGATGGAAATGTATTTTTCTCTTGGTTCATTCACAGATGTTTGAGATTTAAACTCATATGCCTCATTTGTGGACTGAATTAACACAAGCAACCAGACAACTGCCTCTTTAGACTACTGACCAAATGTCCATCCAAAATATTACCCCATACCCCACGTGTTTAGCATTATTTACCCCCCAAAAAAAGGTCTGTCTGAGTTTCTCATGTATAGGAAATAGGGTGAATTCAGGTTAATTGGGGCAGTTATTTGCATTCACAAAGATAAGCCTTATGTCGTGGCTTTATGTACTGTATTTTCAAAGAAAATACTAAGTGTGAACTGAACTGACACTCAATTGCCTATTAATTACTATTACCTAAATTGAATTATAGAATACACTTAAGTAGCCTTTTATTTGATTCATATTGTTTTATCTGTGAGTACAGTTTTTAGAAATGTACTAAAGCATAATAATATATTTAAGCACACTTCACAAGAGATTTGTTATGGCTGTTTAGTTGAAATACAGAAATTTGATACGGATGTCAGGACGCATGCCTGATTGGTACTATTTGCTCATTGAACTTGCGTAAGATTATTTAATTATGTGTTTGATACCTAAGAATCATACACTTGCAATGCAGGCAGTTCAGTGATGGTTAATTAATCAGATAGAATTGTCAGTGAATGTGTGTGATTGATCCAGATGGTTTAATTTCCAGATGGGAATAAAATGAGGCATTTTCGTAAGTGAATGTACTGTTTGTGTAGCAGATATCACACATTTGATGGCTAAATATTAGCCAAATTCCTTTCTCTAGTAAATATACATACATACTCATGATACATGACAATATTCACCCATAAGATGTTTGGCACATGCATTTTAGTATTATAATGAATTTAAGTTGAAATGTAACAGAAGTAGCGTTGCCTGTTAGACGATAAATTGGGCAGAACAATCCCATAGACTTGCATTGAAAGAGGGACACGAGTCATATACTCTTAGAAGAAGGTTCTATATAGAAGCTTAAAGGGTTCTGTCAGGTTCTTCATATATAGAACCTTTTAGGGGTTCCTATCATGGGATCATTTTATGGATTTAGTTTTAATTACAGTTTTTTACAATCATTTTGTTACTATTTTCAGAACCTTGATGTCATTTTTCTCAACTCTAGACACAAAACTCACAACCAATGATCAAAATGCACATTTTTCAAAACTCTATACCCTTTTCTCAATTGCTTGGATACAATACACATAAAACTTAGATCATTTGTTCATTCAACAAAAATCACCTGTTCAATATGACACAACTTAACATCACAGTACTACTATTTCAAAAGGCAATTCACACATTACATTTCAAATGAGTGTCTATTCATTTCCTTACAATGATCTAACTATCAATTGATACAACCGCTCAAAATGATAAGTAACTGTTGCAGTACTCTTAATGCATAGTTGTATGGAAACAGACACACAATCTTCCATGTTTACAGTAAATCATGACAGTTTCAAGATAACGAGATTCATTGTCACCAATTAGCATGAACCAATTAGACTACAATATCCATGGATGTAGCCTAATATTTAATATTTTTGCTTTGATTCCAATAAACATGTGTTGTGATTGCACTGTAGTGTTTTGCATCAATATATTACACACTTTGTTCAGTGATTCCACTATGTGTGTATTCTCTCTACTACTGCAGTGCTTTTACAGAGATGTATTTACTGTACATGTAGACCATAATGAAACCTGGATCACCTATTTTGTTCTACAATGTTTAATGATTGTACGAACAATGACACAGTGAAACTATCGGTTGCTTGTGTGTGGGTGATCTATAGTTATGTTTCAATGGTATTTCACAGTAAATTTGTTTTTTGAACCAATGATTGTGCAAGTGCAAGATTTC